CTCTATTTTGCTCTGTGTCAGTGTGTATCAGGGTCTCTGAGGACAGGTGTCAATCCATATGTCAAGGTGTCAATATGTCATATGTCAGGTGTCAATCCATATCCATTGTGATTTAGGAATGTTAGGTGAGTTATGCCCTTTATGGATTAAGACCAGACTCTGCATCAACTGTGTAATTTTCCATGGGAGTTTTGCCATGGATCCCCCTCCGGCATGCCACAGTCCAGGTGTTAGTCCCCTTGAAACAACTTTTCCATCACTATTGTGGCCAGAAAGAGTCCCTGTGTGTTTTAAAATTTGCCTGCCCATTGAAGTCTATGGCGGTTCGCGGATGTTCGCGTTCGCCGTTCGCGAACCGAAAATTTCGGGTTTGCGGTATCACTAGTTCTGATTCACTAATATTTGTGTTCAGCGAAGTCTCCTGAGTATAACAGTACCCCACATGTAAAGGTTATACAAGGTCAAATATAAGGCTTGATTTTACTTTTTTTTTATTATTGAAATTTGCAAAAGAAGATAACCCAAGGTATTGCAAATGGAGTATGTTCAGCCTTTTTTAGTAGCCACTTAGTCACAAACACTGGCCAAAGTAAGCGTTTTTTGCATTTTTAACATACAAACAAATATAAATGCTAACTTTGGCCAGCGTTTGTGACTAGGTGGCTACTAAAAAAGACTGGACATAACCCATTTTGAATTCCCTGGGTTGTCTACTTTAAAAAAAATATGTACATGTGAGGTGTGATTCGGGGATTTATGACAGATAACGGTGTTACAATGTCACTATTGATAAATGTAAAATATATATATATATTGAAACAGCAATTTCCTACTTGTATTTATAGGCCTATAACTTGCAAAAAAAAGCAATAAAGCATGTAAATACTGGGTGTTTTTAATATCTGGACAAAATTTGGAATCTATTTAGCTGTTTTTTTCATTAGCTTTTGTAGATAAGTAAAAGATTTTCCAGGTAAAAGTCCAAAAACATGTTTTAGTTTTTTTTTTATTTTTCACCATATTTTATTATTTTTTTTTAAATAAAATATGACATCATACAAATAATGGTATGTAAAGAAAGCCCTTTTTGTCTTGAAAAAAACAATATATAACTTGTATGGGAACCGTAAATGAGAGAGAGGAAAATTACAGCTAAACACAAACACCACAAAAGTGTCAAAACTGCTCTGGTCCTTAACGTACAACATCGCAAAAACAGGCCGGTCCTTAAGGGGTTAAGGGGTTAAATCCTAAATGGCATCTATTGGGAAAAATTCTCCAACAGAGCTATAGTCACATCATGATATTTTACTATGAATTATGCCTTTCAGAATTCAGTACACAATGAAGCAGAGTTTACTGGATAAACCCCTTGAGGTTTTCTGTCATTTTTGCAAAACTAGAATGTATTTGGATTTTAATTAATAACCCTGACAGTTTAAGGAAACACTGACATGGTAAGTAGCAATACCTTACTCTGGTACATGCTTGTACTTATTTGTGTCATTCATACTATAAGGGGAGGGTGTGTTGGTGTGTGTGTGTGGGGGCTTCAAGTTTAAAACAAGTGCTATTTGGGGGGGAAGGTACTAATGATTTACATACTTTCTGGTGGTTTCCATAGTGATTGAACATTAAAGGAACACTATAGTCACCTAAATTACTTTAGCTAAATAAAGCAGTTTTAGTGTATAGATCATTCCCCTGCATTTTCACTGCTCAATTCACTGTCATTTAGGAGTTAACCCCTTCAGGACGGAGTTAATAGTACACGTTCTGATCAAAACAAAACGTAAACAAAAATTGGAATTTGCGCTATATGTCTGTCCAACCGTAATAAACCTCTTTGATATTAAATGCACCCACACTTATTATATATCATTTTGTTCAGGAGAAACAGGGCTTTCATTTCATATCAAATATTTATATATGAAACATAATTTATTATGAATAAAATTTAAAAAACTGTGAGAAATTTTTAATTTTTTTTAAAAAAATTGTAGTTCCGCCTCACATTTTAGCTGTAAATGTCATTATACTGTTAGGTTTTACTGCAAAAAAATGCAGATATTTGTAATCAGCGATGTCTCACGAGTACAACAGTACCCCCCATTAACAGGTTTTATGGTGTTTTGGAAAGTTACAGGGTCAAATATAAAACATTCCATTTTCAAATTGAAATTTGCCAGATCAGTAATGTTACCTTTGAGATGGTGTGGTAGCCCAGGAATGAGAATTACCCCCATAATGGCATACAATTTGAAAACGTAGACAACTCAAGGTATTGAACATGGGGTATGTTTAGTCTTTTTTAGTAGCCACTTAGTCACAAACACTGGCCAAATATTAGTCATTGTAATACATTTTACCGGTTTGAAACACTAATATTTGAGTTCAGCGAAGTCTCCCGAGTAAAACAGTACCCCCTATGTACAGGTTTTATGGTGTCTTGGAGAGTTACAGGGTCAAATATAGTGCTTGCGAATTGAATTCTCTGCACTTTCTCCCTGTGTTGTCAGGCATGTCAATCAAATTTTAATTAATCAAATCACATAATTATGTTAAAAGATTACTTAAATATACACGTAGAATTTTAATATATATGCATTTATAAGTATTTAAATTCTACGTGTATACTAATGTAATCTTTTATGTAATTATATGTATTTATCTATATATATATATTTGCAGTTATTTGTATTTTATATGTAGATAGATATATATAGAATGTCATTCTAAGTGTATTTTGTTACCAGTATATATATATATATTAATAACAAAATACAGTTAGAATGAAATTACATATGAATATATAATTTATATAAAATTTTGTTTCAATATTTTATTTATTTTATTTATTTATTATTGTAATTATACGTATATATATATATATATATATAATATATGTGTATATATCTATTATATATATAATATATATACATATTATATATATGTAACGTCATTCTAAATGTATTTTAATATTAATATATATACTAATATTACTATTAAAATACACTTTGTATGACATTACATATATATAATATGTATATATATAATATGTATATATAATATATATATACATATTATATATATATATATATATATAAAAATACTTTTAATTTATTTTTACATGTCTAATTTTTTTTACACTTTCCCACCAGCAGAGGGACTGTCTGATATTTCAGACAGTCCCCCTGCTGGCAGATCCACAGCCAGCTATAGGGGGCCATGTGATTGCTCTTTGAGAGCGATTACATGGCCCTCGGGGGCCTCACTTGCCAGAGGAGGGCTGCCTGGTCTGTCAGGCAGCCCTCCAGAAGACGATCGCGGCGGAGGTAAATACCTCCGATCTCCTGGGGGCTTAAGCCGTTACGGCGTTCTATGCTGCCGCAACGGCTTTAAAGCCCTTTAAAGCCGCGATGGCATAGAACGCCGTAACGGCGTTAAGGGGTTAAATCACTTTGTTTCTGTTTATGCAGCCCTAGCCACACCTCCACTGGCTATGATTGACAGAGCCTGCATGAAAAAAAAGCTGGTTTCACTTTCAAACAGATGTAATTTACATTAAATAATTGTATCTCAATCTCTAAATTGAACTTTAATCACATACAGGAGGCTCTTGCAGGGTCTAGCAAGCTATTAACATAGCAGGGGGTAAGAAAATCTTAATTGAACAGAACTTGCAATAAAGAGAGCCTAAATAGGGCTCTCTTTACAGGAAGTGTTTATGGAAGGCTGTGCAAGTCACATGCAGGGAGGTGTGACTAGGGTTCATAAACAAAGGAATTTAACTCCTAAATGGCAGAGGATTGAGCAGTGAGGCTGCAGGGGCATTTTCTATACACCAAAACTGCTTCATTAAGCTAAAGTTGTTCAGGTGACTATAGTGTCCCTTTAATAGAACTCTGTTCCAGCACCGTTTTTTTTTTTGTTTTGTTTTTTTTTTGCATTGATAAATCTGCTCCACGTTATAATAATATACATTATTGATGAATCATACAAATGACAATATCGCCCCCCTTAGATGACCTACATAAAGCACATGTGCCAAGATGGATACAGTAGCCTGTTCATTTTGACCGCACATGTAACTAATTAAACCAAAGAAACACCTCCCAATGCACGTTGCAGATTAAAATGCTCAGAGCACGCTCTCCATGACTGAGGGAATAAAATAAATGGGAGTGGAATATGCAAAGCAGAGATTAGAAAGGCAGTGCAGTGACACAATCTGGTTACCACCCTTGTAACCAATCAGTGCACAGGAGTGCTTTCATATGCAAAATGAAAGTGAACGGAAGGTCATTAGAGCTTCATGCAGACAGCTTGCAACAGGAGCAGATGAAGAGAAGAACACCCAGAGCAGCTGATGTTACATCGGGAATCAGCATGACACAGGACAACTGCCACCAGGGCTGAGACTTATCCTCAACATCTCCACCAAGACAGTGACAACAATGCGACAGTGGCAAAGCAGGCAGCCAGCTGCGGTTACTAGGTGGATACATCCCAGCTCTTGCCAGGAGTAACATTTCCAGTGTATCCTCTCTGATGATGAGATCCTTGGTTCGTATAGTGTTTCTAATTCCAATCCTAAGTGTCACCCTTCTGCTCATATACTACAACAGTGTTTTAAAATGGAAAGGTATCCATAGGTATAACATCACAGAGGAGAGATTTGTTTTGGCAGAAGCCTGCGATGCCTTCACACAGGGGAAGGAGAGATCATTTGTGTTTGAAGACACCCTGGCCATTTCATTTGAAAGGGATAACTGTCGAGAATATATAAGGCAAAATCATTATATCACATCCCCCCTCTCCGAAGAAGAAGCTGATTTCCCACTGGCTTATATTATGGTTGTGCATAAAGACTTTCACATGTTTGAGAGAATGTTTAGGGCTGTCTATATGCCCCAGAACATCTATTGTATCCACGTTGATGAAAAGGCAAAGTCCAATTTCTTGCATTCTGTAGAGAGAATGGCAGAATGCTTTCCTAATGTTTTCTTGGCCTCCAGGACAGAGCCTGTGGTCTATGCTGGAATATCAAGGCTATTAGCAGATATAAACTGCATTAAAGACCTGGTGAAATCAGAAGTACAATGGAAGTATGTTATCAATACATGTGGACAGGATTTCCCATTAAAGACAAACAAAGAAATCATACAGCATCTTAAGAGATTCAATGGAAAAAATGTTACCCCTGGGGTGCTCCCCCCCAATCATGCTATAGCAAGGACGAAATATGTTCATCGGGAGGATTTAGTTCATTCATTAGTTTTGAGGACCACTTTGGTAAAGCCCCCTCCTCCTCATAACATAACTATCTACTTTGGTACTGCATATGTTGCACTGACAAGACAATTTGCTAAGTTTATTCTTGAAGATCAGAGAGCCATTGACCTGCTGACATGGTCCAAAGACACTTACAGCCCAGATGAACATTACTGGGTGACACTAAATAGAATAGCAGGTATGTACATTGTGACTTACATTTGCATTTCATTACTTAGAAATAAAATGTTCTGACATAACATGTATACTACACATACAAAGTGAAATAATGAGGAAATTCTCCAGTATGAACGCAGGATCAAAAGTTATTAACCCACTGCCTGCTTCCTCCCATGATAATGTGGGCACCCATGTGTTGCCAAGATCTTGATATGGATATATGTATTTTCTATGCAGCAGGTTATGTTCTTCTGATAACAAGACACTACTTTTTTATTAATTCATACATTATAATATTGGTAAAATGCATCAAAATACTGGGACAAAGTGGTATTTTGGGAGAAAACGGTTTCATTCTATTCAGTGGTGATGGTGCAGATATAGCATGTCGTTCCTGAATTGTATATGTTGCTGGGCCTGTCACATTACAATATCTAATTATGATACATTATATGTTTTGAATTCTTATTTGAATGGTTTGGTCTGCTGGTTGTCCTGTGCCAACAATAGTGAGCTAGGGGCACAATTAGCATTGATGGTGGATCTGTAAAATGAGCTTTCCAAATATGTGACTATTGGGTCTGCTGCCCGAAACCCAACAGTGTTACTGTACAAGTTCCTTAATATATAAAACACTATTTAGTGAATAAACTTTGTAAGATGCAATACAAAAAGCCCATTGGCTAACCATCATTTGGGCACAACTGCAACTCATGTGCTCTGTAGTCGTTATGGTTTGATTTACATCATTTTTACATAGTTACATAGTTACATAGCTGAAAAGAGACTTGCATCCATCAAGTTCAGCCTTCCTCACATATGTTTTTGCTGTTGATGCAAAAGAAGGCAAAAAACCTAGTCTATAGCGCTTCCAATTTTGCAACAAACTAGGAAAAAATTCCTTCTTGACCCCAAAATAGCAGTCAGACGTCTCCTTGGATCAAACAACTAAGGTCCACTGGGCACCTTCTCTGAATCCTCTAAAGTCAGAAACTCTCTGTCAGTGCTAAGGTCATTCAGATGAAGTGATTTTGATACTTAGAATCAGTAATGCCTGCCGTCTAGGGACTGACTGATTATCGGTCTGGACGATATCGTCTGATATTTAGCATTTTTAGCAATATAGGTCTATAATGAAACCAATATTTCCGATAATGCTGGTGCCGTCTTCAGCTCCTCTCTTCAACTCTTGCAAGCACCCAGCTGTCAAAGCATTGCCGTGGGTTACCATTGCAAAGCTCCTCGTGGACACCAGGCTTGTAAGAGTTGGAGAGAGGAGCTGCTGGAAAGAGAAAATAGCATGTGCTTGTTCCATCAATGCCCAATTCAGTATGAAACCCCTTGGCATCCTGCACAAAGCCACTGGAGTGAAATACTCCCTCCTGAAATACTAAAAGGCAGGGGAATAAAATAAAAAATATTTGAAAAAAGGGTAATGTAATAATAACAACAATTCATTTTATAAAATATTTTTTATTAAAAAAAATATTTTAGCCCTCAGGATTAGTCACAGAATCATACCCCACATATTTACACACACACTGCGTCCACTTCACCCACACCCACTGCATCCACTTCACTCACATAAATATTCTTGCAAAAATTAAAAATCTAACTGGCATGTATATTTTCTACATTTACCTCTCAATGAAAAAGATTTACAAATATACCCTATTAAATAAAAAAAACATGTTCAGTTAATGGTAGATTTGAATTTGTTTATCTTTTTCAAAACTGTAAATGTACAGAATATCGGTACAAGTTACTGGCTATTAGCCTTACAATCCACAGATTATCGGAATTGGTATCGGCCCTAAAAAGCAATATTGGTTGATCCCTACTGCCATCATAATCATGCTGCAAGTGATGTCTAGGTGGTATATACCACCTTGACACTAAAGTCTCTTTCGTACCATGTTACCTACTCTGTCCTCTCCACCTTTACCTTTTTATGTCACCCTCCTCACCTCATAATTTTATTTTTTTCTTAGTTCCACTTTGTTTGTGTGTGAAAGCATCAATTCTTCTCTTACCATCTCTGTCCCCCTGTTGCCTCTTTTATTAGTGTTCATGTCTCTCTCAACCTAACACCCTCACTAATTGTCACTTGCCAGTACTTTTAATACTATGTATATTTATCCCAAGATTTAACAAATATGTATTTGTGAGGTGTCAAAAATTAAATTAAATGTAGAAATCCACACATTTCTATCCTGCATCTGGGAACCTCCATCGAAGCTCCCTGTCAATCATTGTTATAAACTCTGTGCTTTGCACCTGGCAGTCAGCATAGAGAAAACAAACAGAAAAGAGAAAAGAAATGCGACAATGTTTCCATTTCTTCTGTTCATTTGCAATGTTTGCCCTGCTTGAAGTTGATTATCTATTTTCCTAACGTTCCCATTTTGTATTTCTCAATTCTCTTCATTATATTGTGGGATCTCCACTAGTTCATTATACAGAGACGTGTAAAAAAACAAGGCGTAACGCAACCCTTTGCAATTGAGTCTAGCATCAATGATAACCTTTCCAAATGTGAATTTAGAGTAAATATAAACTAACTGAATGTTTCCCAGTAAGATAATACTATAATCTTCCAGTAAAACAGAAACCAACAACAACATGACTTAACATTGTTACTGAGTGATCGCGTATGTAACAAAAAAACAAATACAGATTGCGTATAATCAAAATGTGGTTCTGGAGATTACTAAGAGTATCTATTTGGCATATTTTCAATTTATCAGCACTGTACTAGGTGAAGCACCATCTTTGCAGGAAAACAATATAGTTGTCAGACGGTAGTTATCAGTGTATAAAAATTACTTATAGAGGTCTTGCGAGAAGACACTAGACCACAGGAGTCAATAACAATTATTTATATCACCAACATATTCTGCAGTGCTGTACAATACGTAAACAAGACAAACATTTAATTGTAACAAAATATGTATGACACACAGGAACAGTAGGTGAAGAGGACCCTGCTGAAACAAGCTTACAATCTAAAGGGGCAGTCAAGAATGGGTTTAATCCAAATTAAACCAATAATTTTTTGGCAAAATAACTTTCTCATGAGTTTTCATCTAGGGTTTTAATATTCTCTGCAGATCTGTGCAACTGATAAAGATAATGACAATCGAAACCATGAGGGAGATATCATGTGTCACGATATCACAATTTCAGTTGCTTTACTATTAACCTTATGTTTACTTTAATGTCAGGGTTATTCACCAAAGTGTGAATTTCTGTAAATTCAAAATCAGTTTAAAATTAAATTTGTATTTCCAATAATTCACACATTTGTGAATAACTGTGAGTGTTCATAGAAAGATTGGTCTCACTAGTTTTGCTTATCAAGATATCACCAACCCATCAAGTATAAATAAACAGGTGAAGGGAGCATTTGAGCTTTTTAAAGGGCATCCATTTGCTTACATAGTGGCATAGTTATATAGACTGAAAAAAGACGTGCGTTCATCAAGTTCAGCCTTTCTCACATCTGTGTTTACTGTTGATCCAAAAGAAGACAAAAAAACCTAGTTTGAAACACTTTAAAAATTTGCGAAAAACTAGGAAAAAATAAATTTTCAACGCCAGAATGACAGTCAGAATTCTCCTTGGATCAAGAAATCTTTCCTTTGCCTTAGACTAACTCTCATTTCTTCCCCTCTAAATTGATGACCTCATGTCCTATATATGGGCTTGTTTATGAATGGATTAGCCCCAAATATATATTTGTACAATGCTATCATATCCCCTCTGAGGTGGCATTTTCCTGAGCTAAAATGTGTTAACCTTCATCTAAAACTAAAATCTTCAATTCCTCCTATTAATTTTGCAGCTCGCCTCTGCATCTTTTCTAGTGCCATAAACTCTTTCTTACCATTGATTTTTAAAGATGCAAAATTATATTTTCATCTCAAGAAATAATGCCCCTTTAAATGCATGTCCATACCTTACTGCCCATAGCAAATACTGATGGACATTGCATATTGTTGCTGAGTTTATTGTCTAACAATTCCCAAATCCTTCTCATGTGTTTTTATTCCTAATTCACTACCAATTCACTTTAATGACAACTTTCTGAACTCTATGTTTAAGTCAATGTATTACCCAATAACAAGACCTTTCATCAATTCCTTTAGTTATTTTTTATTTAGTTTTTTGAGAATTTATGTACTTGGAAAACTTTTTGGGTTTGTTATTGCTTTCTTGGTTATCACTTTGTCATTTTCTAATTTTTTAGTCTAGCCAACTTCGTGTTACAGGCATTATTGGCTTCCTTTTAGCCTATCTAGGATGCCTCTGATTTGTCTGATTTAAATGCCCTTTATGTACCTTTCTACTAAGCCACATTGGTTTCAATGTGTTTCTTATATATTTCTTACCCATTGGTATATACTGAAAAGTGTAGATTTCTAATATTTGTTTGAAGATATTCCATTTATCTTAGGGTTTTGTTCCGCTAAAGAATTTATGCCAGTCAGTGAGTTCTAAAGCTTCCCATATCTTACTGAAATTGCCCATTTTAAAATGATATGTTTTAGTATACCCCATGTGCATCTGATTCTTTAATTTTATTTCAAAAGACACCATATTGTGATAACTATTTCCTGAGTGTTCCACTACATTGTTTGTTAAAACCTTTCCTATGTTTTACATTTTATTTTATATATAGCCATTTAAGTTAACTTCCCAGTCATGTGCCTCATCCCACCATGTTTATGTTATGCCTATTATATCATATTGCTTAGTGTATGCTATTGCCTCTAGTTCCCCCATTTGGTTATTTAGGCTCCTTGCTAGTATGCATACATGTAATATTGTCATGAGCCACTTGTACTGTATGTAAATATTCTGTCTGATCTTGCCCCTCTCCCATCTCTACCCCCTTGTGCTGAGATAAATTAAATCACCTTTCTGTCCTAGTTTCATTTTGTAGATTTCTGTGTCTCCACTTTTCCATGAGTTTAAAATCTCCTCCAACCTTCTAGTTATCCTGTCCCCCAGACCAGCAGACCATCTTCTGTTGTGCTATAGAGATTGTACCCAAGCACAAAATCATCCAAGTGCTCTACAAAAGCCAATACCCTCCTTCCTACACCCTAATCGCCCACTGCCTTTCTATCA